AGGGTCGTGAAGAAGAAGAATGTGAATGCACCAAGATGGAAAGAAGATGAAGTGAAAAGTATGCAGCCCGCTCCCTAATCGTGATAGCCCCAAATATTGAATACAGCCCCGAGAGAGAAAAGTTTTGTTGTATCCAGTCATAACAACCCGTCGTTAGATTCCCTAGAGAAACAGAAGGAATCCGGACCATCGTCATAACACCGTGAGACCGCTCAAGAAATTATGCGATGATGAGAGAAAATTTACGCGCGGAAAGAGCGGCCGGAACGCTTGCGGCCGGCGGCGGCAATGCTGAGGGTAGAACCCTGGCCACTAGTGCACACGGTGCCAGCAGCCATGGCCATGCTGACGGACCAGGTGCCGGAAGCGCACTGCTGGTAGCTGGAGCCCATGCAGTTGAAGGTACCCTCGGGGCTGCAAGCACCAGACTGAGCGGAGCCGGAGCCGGCAGCGGGAGTAGCAGGGGCAGCAGGGGCAGCAGGAGTAGCGGTAGCGGCGGGAGCAGAGGGAGCGGCAGTAGCTTGAGTAGGGGCAGGGGTGGAAGGCTCAGTGATGAAAGCACCACCGTCAGCGGGAGCAGAGTCGGTCGGGGTAGCAGGAGTAGCAGGGGCAGCGGGGGCGCTGTCACCGGCAGTGCAACCGCCAGTACCGCAAGTGGCAACGCTGCCAGCAACGGTGTTGTCCTCGACAGAGTCGCCGGGGTTCTCGAACTTGTAGTCACTACCCTCGAGGGTGGAGGGCTTGCCCATGATGTTCAAGACAAGCATGTCAGGGAGCTTGTCGAAGTTGGCCTTGTCACCACCGGTACCGGTGAGCTCGAGAGCACCGCAGTTCATGTAGAATTCACGGTTACCGATCTTGTTGAGCCAAGACCAGGCAATGGTAGCCTTTCCGGCGGGGATGTTTGAGGGGATGGTGTAGTCGTAGGTGTAGGGGTCAACGAAGTCAGCGCTGTCGGCAGGGAGGTTACCGGGAGTGTCGCGGGCAGGGCAGCCACCCTCGATAGAGTGGATGACCTTCCAGACACTGTCCTTGGTTGGGTTCTCATCGTAGGTGATGGAGACCTGGCAAGAGCCACCGCCGTGGACGGCTGAGCCCTTGAAGGCGAGCTTCTGCTGGGAGCCGAGGGCGTAGCTGTTCACCTCGCCACCGGAAGCGGAGTAGCTGCCGGTGAACTTGCAAGGGAAGTTGCTTCCATCAGCCTCAAGAGGGCCGTTGCTGAGAGCGGTAGGGTTGAAGGGAGCGGGGCTGGTCATGACCATGTGGGCATTGACACCGGCAAAGAAACCGGCGATGGCGGCAATCTTCTTAGAGTAAGACATTTTGACTGTTTGATGAAACTATGAAATCTGATTCCTGCAGATTTAGTGAAGTAAAAAATCGATCTGGTCGTTGACTGAAGAGTCTGAAAGTTGCTTGAACTGAATGCTTATAAGTTAGCTTTCAGATCATAGGTAAACAATAATATTGCCTTGATGCCTTTGACTGGGGATATACAAAGACGTTGTTGCGAAAAGAGATAGTCCTCGAATAGCTCTTTCGAGTCGAATCGAGTAGCTCGTAGTCGAACAATGCATTTATAGTGCCAGAGAAAGGAGAAAAGCGTGTGGTAATTAGTTACTGACCTTGTTGGTACTTTGTTCGACTAAGGGAACAAAGGTAAAAATCAGTGACGATGTTTGAGAGAGTGAGATCGATCAAGATAATTCTTCGTGAGTAAAACTCAAAGGAAGGTGATGCTCCAGGCGATTGGAAACGAAGATGTCTGAAAATGAAGGAAAGACTGAAAAGGTATCAAATTGTTGCCGCTGGCGTGATGATGAGAGAAGAAACAAAACAATCGGCTTGGGCGATTTGTAGAGATTCTTATACTCTTGAAGGATGGGCAAAAGAATGGAAGGCGGCAAGTGAGTATGCACGATGATGGCGGAAGGAAAAAAACGAACGAATGCAGTAAGTCAGTGAGTTGGTGTAAGATGCAGGAACAAAAAGGCAGGAGGAAAATGATTGGATCTAGGAGGAATTGAGTAGAACATGACTACATGGGTTAACATGGTCTGCATGGTCTGCATGGTCTACAAGGTCTACAAGGTCTCTCTACATGGTTCATTCTCCCCTATCCACTTGCCATTATCACGCTTATTCCTTACTGTCCTTATGTACTACCTAAGGTACCATAGGATGAGATCCACTCGGGGCGCAGAGTTAAGAGTAGATCGAGAACCCCACAACTCAGGGCACCGATGGAACGTAGCCAGTAAAGCTTAGCCATAGCCATCACTGTCGTGGGTTTCGAAGCATGGTGTTGAAGAAGGGCGAGCAGGGGGGAGGTAGTGAGGGCTAGATGACAGGGGATGCAAACGGGGATAAGGTCTTCGGATTCAGCGATTGGCCCCAGTAAGGACCCTAGTAACACCAACTACTGGCAGACGGTTCTTTTCACTTGTTTCGTCTTGGCTTGAACTGTGACCAAACATTGCTCTGAGTGGACAGAATAAGGGCACGTCAGAAAATCGCGTTTATAATTTTTTTTTCTTTGCTTTTGCTCTTGCCGAGTTACGGTTTATTTGTTATCGTTAATTCAGATATGAGGTCATTGTTGTTCAGATTTCTTGTACATATGACTAGAAAATGTTTGACTTTGCAAACGAACTTGAACCGGGTCCCGTTTGCCCTCTCATTACCCCAGCAATGGTAAGTCAGCTGCAGTCCAAACTGCAACGACACCGCATACGCGCTTTACATTTGAATACGTTGGTAGCATTGTTCCGGAATAATCAATTCCAAAAAAACCGAAGTTTTAGTTTTTCTACGCCGTACATAGGAAGCAAGTTAGGAATGAAAATAGAAATGCGAGTAAGGAATTAGTGACGGCGCAGACCTCGGCTCTCCATAAGTTTCAGAATATTAGAATACCATTTTGCTTCAATGAGGAAGGTTTTTCCCAAGGTCTGTCAGGCTGCATGTCGTGCAGCCAATCAAATCACCTAGTTACTAAATCTACTTGCCCGATTCGGACAACTTGGCAGCCAATTATGGTAGCGTGGCGCAACATAAGACCCTGCTTTACCCTTACACTTGGGACTTGAATCCTTTCTACGTGGAACTTTTCTAGAGTAGTTGAATACGAAGAGGCAAGAATCATTACTTCATTTACGTACGAAAAAGCTGGCCGCGATCGTCAGGAGATATTTATGACCAAGATTCAGGGGGGAAGGCGAAAGACTTGCCCGGTTGCGTAAGCTCGTGATAGGCAAGGGGAATTAGGGGAATTTTTGACTTTAGTCGTACGTCAAGAATCTTCTAGCCTCTAGAATTCCAGCTGGGTCGCGCCGAGAGATCCAAGCACTGGCCACTCATAGCTCAGGAACAGGGGCGAAGTCGATCCCCTGGAGACCTATGGAGAGCTTTCAAGCCTGTAATGGTTCCCTCCCCTGCGCCTAGGCTTGCTAGCCATTTTAGCGAGAAGTTAAACCCCCGCCCCCGCCAGGCTGATTGAAAAGGTGAAACCGCACTAGTTTCAACCAGCGCTGAATTCTTCAAGGAGGGTTGCAACGTAAGACTCGAGACTCCTAATTACCTATGGTTTTCTGATGATTTTGCTCGTACGTACTCTAACTCGCATGGCCGATCGCACCATGCCGCTTGTAACCCTTCACCTAAGCACATACAAAAAAAAATAAGGTTTGTTCGGCTAGCCAATGGTGTTATTTCTACGTACACCTAGGTATGTCGTCTAAAGTGACGACCTCCAAATCAGCTCTATCAATTCAATACCAGCCACTACAGCTGTGTTCTACATTGAGATTTATTACGTTTCCATTGCGCTAACTACGCCACATGCTTCACGTCTCCGCTTGGTGCTGCCTACCTAAAGTGTACTCCGGCCGCATTTGGCGAGCCACCGGCCCAATCGACCGGAAGGAGGCGCCTCGGCTTCTAACACAGTCTGTAGTTATCACCAACACCCCGTTTTAACTGTCAGCTAGAATATGACTAGGCTGCCTCCTTACGGAGCGTCATCTTCAGTTACTACCTAATGCTAATGGCTTACCGCATGCGAGCTGCAGATTGACGCCAGCTCAGCATTTCTAAACAAGGCCATCTCGCCATTCCGTCCGCCTTTTAGTTTTCATTATAACGATGCTGTTTCTAAAGCGATCCTTTGTATGGTGTTTTTCGTGAATACTTTAGATTAGGTATCTGGGGACGCAAGGCTGTGCTTCCATGGCTTGATAGATACCTCCACTCTAGAAGCACTTTACATAATAGTAGTAGCGGAGTGGATCACAGAAGGTTGATAGTAGTTCATGCAATATTGAAGAGGAAAAATTAAGCATCTTGAGCTGCCTAATTAGGATCCTAGTGGATAAAAATAGAGAGAAATATTCTAGGGTGTAATCTTGACGATTTTCTTGGCATCAAAATAAGGTACGCCATATCTCATCGGATAACTGTGGAGATGAGATGCAAGGGCATTGCCGTTAGATGCTGAGGTATGTATTCCGTAGAATGTGGTTATTTGGCATTATGATGCCTGTTGGTGGTAATAAACACGACACAGACCAGACCTTCGAGAATTGTGTTACGTGCCGCTTGTTCCTGTCAGCTGTTGTGTTGAAGGAATTGGTCTCAACATGTTGAAACTAGTTTCATGTTCAATATATTAAGACGATATGCTGCGATCTGGTTAACGATTGATTGAGACAGTCAAAGTTGGCAGTTAACTATATGAATCTTTGACTCTCTTTGGTAGTTCCAAGTTTATTGACGATTGGCCGCCTCACACAGCTATGCCATACATGCGGCTCCTCAGCTTTGCTCAGCCGAATTTCGTTTCAAAAAGACCATATAACACTATCCGAAATGTACATTAACTAGCGTGATATGCACCATTCTATTTTTTGATTGACGCGGTGATTTTAGCCACGAGAGAACCACAACCAAACCAACCTTCCTGATGGGTCTATGCTAAGCAAGTATGTATGAGATGCATCATTACCATGCCTACCTAGTATACTATGTACTACTGCAAATAGTTCTCCATCCTGGAATATTGATTGATTGATCCACTCTGGTGCTAACGTCTAATTGTGTAGCTGGTAATTCTGCAAGGCTTACCTTACCAACGACAAGGTCTAGGCAAACCTGAGAGATTGCGAATCCCCACAGCTAAATCATCTCAAGAAAAAAAAAGGCTAAATTGGTAACGTTGCATATCTATTAGACGAACAATAGTCTAGCGAAAAAAAGACATTATGAGGGCATTGCCGCATTAGCACTCTTATGCATTCTGACGGTAATCTCGACCGCCATTCTTGCTTATTGTCCTCTTTGAAATCAAGATAGGAGGTCAATGATGAGCTTTGCAACGTTTGGGCTTCCGTTGACCTTCAAACAGCTGCCGCTTTTTCATCATCTTTGACGTCTTGAGGAGCGAAATGGTCGCTCTCTTCGAAGCCATAATCTTCTCGCGTCCAGTTTTTCATCTTCTGCGTCCGGAACTCCTCAAAGTCCCACTCACGATCTTCTAGTTGATTAGGATGCTTGAAGACGTATACTTCGCACTCGACCTCCTCGCCTTCGACGTTGCCTTGTCCTTTGTCGTCGCCGACTTTCGAAAGTAAGCGGGCTTTAACCGTTTTACGATCATATTCGCTCCCCTCGAAGGCGTCGAGATGGAACATGTTGGCGTCTGTTAGGCCTGTCACGTACATCCCTCTGACCTCATGATTTGGGTCCGGTGTAATTCCCGGATAGTCTGCAAATTGAACTCGACTATGGAGGTAAGTGTTAGCCATATCCTGTGGATAATCGGTTGAAGCCGTTATATTATAAGGCAATATGAGCGTTCGGGCGGCTCGGGGCCTTAATGTCCAACAAAATGATGCCCTGATTATCGACTTACCGCCGGCAATAACCATGTAATATAGCTGGCTTGAAATCGTGAAGGCTCTTTAAGAGCGCCACGTTTTCCGTGGAGAACCTATAACAGACCGTGAAGAAGACTTCAGCGGCCATCTGAGTATTTGTAAGTAAATAGACGATGTTCAGATACCCTTGGGGGAAGAGAGTTTCACCAGCGTGCCTAGTAATTATTAATACTGGCATTCATTCTAGTGGATAGTTGTCAGATACGAGGCTCACCATAGAAGAATGCCGCGTACGTGCGGTCCGACATTGCTGCCTAATATTTGGGCATACGAGTCGCTTTATTTTTCTTGTTACGTATGGAGAGTACTAGCTAGGTATGGCTAACTTGGGGAGACGAGCACAAGATCTAAGGGTACCGGTGCTGAGTTTAAAAGTAAAAATTCGAAACTATTAAAGTGAGTAGACCCTTGGTTTTCTATAAGAATTAACTCTAACACATGTACCTAATGATTCATGCGGGGGTGTTTAGGACTTATCTCTAAAGAGAGATAACCGTATCTCCCTACAAATTCGAAAATTCAAATAGGCTAAAACCTTTACTAAAAGTATCTACTTACTTACATACGATTATTATTTAAGACATATCCGGATGCATCCAATAATTTTAATGTCTTGGAGGTCGAAGCAAGCTAGAGGCTACTCCAGAGTGTGAATGAAGATAAGGCAGTTCGGGACTTGGCAGCTAATAGCCCGAGCTACCGCATCTCTACCATTGTGCTTATCGATAAGAACACAAGAGATATATGATTGGTCAAAGCGCTTATTACCCCTGCTAGCTCTCGAGCTGGTGCTTAAGCTTGAACCAATGACAAAGCTGGATTCTAGAGCTATCGGAAAATCAATAAGGCCTAGCGTTGTAAATGTACAATTCGTCGACCGTCGCGCCCACCTCTCAATGACCTTTCGCCTGTCTTTTCGCGCCGCTTCAACTTTTTAAGCTTTTTTCGAGCATCACTCAGCCTTACGCGCATCCTTTTTCTATACAAATTTTCTAGTCGTTTCATGATACCCCTCAATCTATTCGATTCTCTCCTCGTGCAGGCGTGACAAAATACGTTACGAATTCCTTCGCGCTTTATTACGTTGCCGTGGTCCATACGCAACATTTACTAACCTTGCATCTGCGTCGCATCGAGCTATCGCGTGGCATCCCGAAAGCGCCTCGTACATCTCGTACATACTCTGCGCCCCTCCCCGAATACCTTCCTATAGATAAGGCGACATTTGTAATTCCCAATCCGAAATTTACTTCCTATGAGTATTATATGGTAAACCCCGGGTTGCACACGCGCATGCGGGGGCCGGAGTCATGTCGGGAACAGGGCTTGAGGATATCGTCAAGAGGCTGTCGACCCATGAAACTGGTATGCGTCTATGCTATCGTTGATAATCCTCGTCCTGCTTGATTAGCTGTTATTCATACCTATCGCGCCTGTCTGGTATAGGTAGCTAATCTTTATAATTTTGTAGACCCCAAATTGAAACTCGAAGCTGCCACTACGCTGCGAGACAGCTTGGATCATTACACCAATGGTCCTCACTATGCCGTATTTCTTAAGCGGATGATGCCGCTGTTCGTCACCATCCTCAGAGGACCATGCTTATTCCAAAGCACATCCCCGGAGCAGGTATGCTATACCGACCTTTACGTGGCTGACTCCAGCTAAGCCTGCTATCTAGAAACTCCGGAATTGCGTCCTCGAGATCCTCCACCGATTACCCACCCACCAAACACAAACTTCGCCAGAACCCTTCGAGCCGTATGCCGAAGAGATTGTTGATATATTAATGAGCTTAGTTCGGAATGATAACGAAGATAATGCTACGCTATGCGTGAAAATAATATCGGATATTATGAGGCACCAGCCGAAGGTTCTCCATGGGAAAGTCCAGCCGTTTCTGGATCTGATCCAGGAGCTTTTCGAACAGATGGAGAAGGTTGTGAGAGAACAACTCGATAGTACGGCTATTCCGTTCAATGCGTCGGGTCAGCCATCGACACCTGGTAGCACTCAAACAAACTTCCAGTCGCCGCGGCCGGGATCGCCAGTCGCTTCTGTCAATGACCTGGCTCAAGATGCCCAGCAGCAGAGCCGGCCCTTGCTAAAAGGCATGCAATCGTTTAAGGTTCTCTCGGAATGTCCCATCATCGTTGTATCCGTCTTCCAGACGTATAGAAATATCATCCAGCAGAACGTGAAGGCCTTTGTCCCCTTAATTAAGGCTGTTCTATGTCTCCAGGCCAAGGCCCAGGAACAGGCCCATGCTGAAGCGAGGGCGAGAGGTACCGTATTTGCCGGGGTGAGCCCAAATATCAGAAACCGAGTGGCGTTTGGGGAGTTTATTACAGCTCAAGTAAAGACCATGAGCTTCTTGGCTTATCTACTGCGCCAATACTCTAGTCAACTCGCTGATTTCTTACCAACCTTACCCGAGATTGTCGTTCGATTGCTTAGAGACTGTCCAAGGGAAAAATCTGCCGCCCGAAAGGAGCTGCTGGTCGCGATTCGCCATATTATAAACTTCAACTTTCGGAAGATCTTCCTCCCAAAGATTGACGAGCTCTTGGAAGAGAAGACATTGATTGGCGATGGGCTCACGGTTTACGACACACTAAGACCGTTGGCATATAGCATGCTAGCTGACTTGATACACCATGTTCGCGAATCACTATCGCCGGAACAAATTCGAAAGACGGTCGAGGTGTACACGAAGAATTTGCAGGACAATTTCCCTGGGACGAGTTTTCAGACCATGAGTGCCAAATTATTATTGAATATGGCGGAGTGCATAGCCAAGATGCAGAATAAGGTCGATGCGCGACATTATTTACTCATGATTCTCAACGCTATTGGTGACAAATTCGCCGCAATGAACAGACAGTACCCCAATGCTGTTAAGCTCTCCAAGCTTTACGCGCAGCAGGCTGCTGATCAGGTTCCTGATACATATCTCGCGGACAAGGAACATCACCCTGAGTGGGATGAGACAGATATCTTCACGGCAATGCCGATCAAGACGTCAAACCCTCGTGACCGTGGCACAGATCCCGTGGCAGACAACAAGTTCTTGTTCAAAAATCTTATGAACGGGCTGAAGAACACTTTTTACCAGCTAAGAACTTGTAATGCAAATATTCAAATCGACCCAAAGAACGCACCCCAGCATTGGCAAGAAGTATCGTACGGGTTTTCCGCGGAAGAGGTCAAGGTCATCATCAAACTCTTCCGCGAAGGTGCCTACGTCTTCCGCTACTACGAAATTGAGAAACCAACTGCTGAGGCTCAGTATGCTTCACCGGTGGAGTACATGGCGAATTTCTACATGGTATCGAGTAGTAAGGAAGAGAAAGACCTTCTTGAGACATTTGCCACAGTTTTCCACTGCATTGACCCGGCTACGTTCCACGAAGTATTCCAACAGGAGATTCCTCGCCTCTACGAAATGATCTTCGAGCATACCGCCCTCCTACATATCCCTCAGTTCTTCTTGGCAAGCGAGGCTACATCGCCAAGTTTCTGTGGTATGCTTCTAAAGTTTCTAATGGAGCATATTGACGAAGTGGGTTCGGCCGACGTAAAAAGATCATCAATCCTCCTGCGACTGTTCAAGCTTGCATTCATGGCGGTGACTCTTTTCGCGAATCAGAACGAGCAGGTCCTGCTTCCCCATGTTGTGGATATAGTCACGAAGTCAATCGATCTGTCTACCAAAGCTGAGGAACCCATGAACTATTTCTTACTTCTACGTTCCTTGTTCAGGAGTATTGGTGGCGGTAAGTTCGAGCACCTTTACAAGCAGATATTGCCTCTCCTGGAAATGTTGCTTGACGTTCTTAATACTTTACTGATGGCTGCCCGTAAACCTACGGAGCGAGATTTGTACGTTGAGCTCTGCCTTACAGTACCGGCACGTCTCAGCAACCTGTTGCCGCACTTAAGCTTCTTGATGCGACCTTTGGTTGTTGCTCTTAGGGCCGGGACGGACCTCGTGGGCCAGGGCTTGCGCACGTTGGAACTCTGCGTCGATAACCTCACAGCAGATTATCTGGACCCCATTATGGCGCCTGTGATAGAGGATTTGATGAATGCGCTTTTCGAACATCTCAAGCCTCATCCCTATAGTCATTTCCATGCCCATACGACGATGCGCATACTCGGGAAGCTAGGTGGTAGAAACCGAAAATTTATGACAGAGGCATTCCCCGTCGACTATCAGAAGTACGCCGATGACCCTTCGAGCTTCGATCTACGTCTTATAGGATCTAAACGGGATCGTGCATTTCCGGCTGAACTTGGGATCGACTTTGCTATCCGTAAATTGATGGAAATTCCGAAACCGTCTAAGGCTAACTCAGCCAGACAGTATGACGGGTACTACAAGAAGCAAGCACTGCAGTTCATCAAGGCCCAATTGAAGTTACGAGTTGGTATCGATCATCTGCCCGAAGACTTACCCCGATTAGTTCGTCTTCAGGCCCAAGACCTCCTCGCCCGGAAGCCAGCGGCGGATTTCGCAATATTTAACACATCGGATCGTGAGCGCTCTGTTGCTAAGAAAGATGAGCAGGACGACGTTACGAAGCGCCTTATCAAGGCTATCATGTATGCGGAATCTATTCCCGAGTTTCGGGAAGAGGCTGATATATTCCTCATGAACCTTTGCCGACATTTCACTATCATTGAAATCGGGCGAGGGCTTGTGGATATCAAAAAGGAGATGAGCCTCTTCGATGTGCAAGCAGGAGAGGGACCCTTATACATTGACACTAGAATTCTTGCGGATGCTATTGTTGAGTCACTTGCGTCCGACCTACCTGATGTACGTGATACTGCTTTTCGGGCGATCCGCGCAGTGTACGACTCTACTGCGACCATTTTTGGATCTGAGACCCATGCTGGTCGACTAGCGTTCTTCAGCCATCTTAGCAGGACTTTCTGTCATGCTTGCAACGAAGAAGAATGGTACACAAAAACTGGTGGCACGCTTGGTATCAAGTATCTTCTGGTGGAGATCGATCTTGGTGACTTATGGGTCGTGTCAAAGCAGATGGATTTCATACGAGCGCTGATGTATGCGATCAAGGATATGCCGCAGGACTTACCGGAGAAGACGAGGAACTCAGCTCAAACTACGCTCGAATCTCTGTTGAGACGAATAACAACAAATGCGAAGAAGGAAGATGTGTTGCCCACTCCTGCACCACCAGGGCAACCCCATCCTAAGCACACGCGACTAGCGCAGATTTGCGTTCTCTTCAACGACGAGCTATCCCATATGAACAAGCAC